AGCTGTAGCTGCATGCAACTATTGAAAATATTGCACAGTGTATGACCGGCTTCAGCAGAGTTCTGTAGCGCTCACCTGTATCCCAGAGAGGCAGTTTGGCCATTTGATTAATCTGCATAGGGACATACCTTAAAGTGGCAGGACATGGCCAATATTCATGCAGAGATTAATTCACACACAGGTTGGGTTTGGTTACTAGGTGACTACTGAAGATAGTTGGCGGCACTTCTTTTTTTTTATTTTAGGTCAACAGAAAAAACAGAGCTGAATTCAGATAATCTGCACAATAATGCATCATCTCTTTCAACTTTCACCAGTATGTGTTGGTCTGTCACATAAAAGCCCAGGAAAATAAATTGAATGTAGTGAAAATAAGGACAATTATTGAAGGTTAAGTGGCATGAATAGTTTTTGAAGGCAATGAAGACTCTTCTTAGTACTCTCTGCAAGTAGTAAACACGTCCTGACTTAAACTTTCTGATGCTTCTTTTCCTTTTCTGCTCCTTGGAGTTCTGGTCTATATCACTCTCAGTTCCCAGAACACTCTCCACCTTCCCTTATCTGTCTCCCAGACCCAGCTTCCCATCGTCCTAACTGAGCCGCTTCGAGATGGGCACGGGGCCCAAAATCTGGAAGCAACCTCACTGCCTCCCCACCTCGCTGCCCTTTGCCATCGCTATCGCGCAGTATAAGAACCAGACCTTCTCGGACTGCACTTAGCTCAGAGGCTAACACTAACCAGCCGCAGATGTTTACACTGGGAGGGAAGGGGCTGGGGATGCAGTCTCACTCAATAAAACTTGCATCTCTCCCACTCTGCCTTTGTGTCTCTCTTTTCTGACTCCCTCTCTCTCTCTTTGCAATCTGCAAAGAACCCAGGGGAGCTCTTTAGAAGTGCAGGCTTGACAGACCTGCTTTCTGGCTTTATTTGCCTCATTCCCAGCCCTCTCTCTCTCTGCAATGAGTCACCTGGGTTTCCCCTTGAAAAGAAAAACTTTTCCTCTTTCCTATCTTTAAACAGCCACATTCTAAGTAGTAAAACTTGAGGCTTATTTACAAGTGACCTGTTCTCAAAACACAATGAACAGAAGAGTTCCGTCAGAGTGGAAAAATCCTCATTCATTCATTCATTTAAACGTTAGCACACCTGATTTATTTGATGAAAAAAAAAAAAAGAGACGCAACCCAAGAGTGGAATTTCAGCAGCAAGAACAGACAGGAATATCTCCAGGTAACACTCAGCAAACAAAACTAAAGCAGACACATCCTGGAGAAATTAGTAGATAGAAATAATATGCTGGAAAATATTTCTCAAATATGCATCACTTTGCAATAGTAAATCCCAAACTTCAAACTTTCAAATGGATTTGATCAGATGGATTCCTGCTGACATGAACATAGTAGTAAGTTGTGAGTCAAAAGATATGGTGGTGATGTGCATTTTTGTTTATTTTACTCATGCATCCATGAATAAAATCCATGACAATCTCCCAATACTATTTTTAGAATGACTGGATCTATATGGAAGATCAACAAGAGGAAAAAACAACCCTGTAGACACAATCCCAGCACCAAAACAGGGTGGTGGCATCATGGTGCAACGATAGGAAAGCTAGTCAAGGGTGTTGGGATAAAGGATGAAATAAAATAAAGGGTAACTTTAATAGAAACCCAGTAAGAATGCATCAGGCATTCCAGTAGGACAATGACTCGAAACATAGATCCAAGGATTCCGATTAAAGTAAATAAATGTGAAGAAAGCAAGGATTTTAATCCGTCATTGTGCAAAGCTGGTCTGGAGATACCCCAAAGAGTTACAGCTGTGAAAGTAGAGATTTGATCAAAGCACAAGAAAAGGCACCATTATTTGCACCAAAAAGACTAACTTTTCTACGAGTTTTTTGTTGTTTTTTGTGTGTTTCTTGAACCTGTATCTGTCAAGATGTTTCTGGTTGCAAATCTCAAAGATTTTGCACAGAGGCATGATGTGTGGTCCACTATGAGCTCATCTACAGAGTGACAACACTACGCAGCACATAAACCTCTGACATTAAAAACTGTTCTGTGATAACTCAAACGGTTTTGTTTCTTAAAACACTTAGGTGTGGGTGTGGAGGTGTGTGTGTGTGTGTGTTGGTCTTAGACATCAGCTCTGGGTGGCTGGAAAGTCAGCAGTGAATAATGCTAATAGAAGGCAGATCTGCTGCAGCAACGTCCTGCCAGACAAGCAAGCACATCGGTGGATCATGTTTTTAGCCTGCAGGCCCCTTTTCGGGAGGTCTGAGGAGGGGCAGGTCGGTCACCATATAGTCTAAGCCCTTTTAAGAAGGAGCATACCACAACCTCCTGTAGTTCCACTGAGGGAGCAGCTTTAAAAACACTTCAGGAGACAAAATCATAAAACAACCCAACAGCCTTCTCAGTGAGGCAAAGAATCCATTCACATTACTCAGGAATCCTTTGATAATTATCTATCTCTAAGCAAAGAAACAAGTCAGTAGATTTTTGAAGAATTCAATTCAATAAGAACCTTATTTTGTAAAACAGAGGTCACGTACGGAGCCTTGGCTGCTTTTGTTTGGACTGATTCATTTTAACATACTTGTCCGTGGTTAGCTGGTTAAGAGTGGTGGAGGCTGTGCGCATTTTCTCAGGCCGACTAACAACAGTATCATTATGTGCCAAGTGGGACGGAACATTCCTCGAACCTTCAGGGTTTTACTCTCCCACAACCAGCCAGCGGGGGTGGTGGTGGGTTAACCCCTATGCAGGCATGCATATGAAACGTATCAGAGAGTGAATCCAATAACTGCTCAAATAGGCACACGTGCTATCACGGAGGATGTGAGGGATCAGCGTGAATGTCGGCAGCCCTCACCCAATCCTCTCAATAAATGAAACATCAACAAAAGGAGAGAGCAACAGCTTTCCCTGCACTTAACAAAAACATCTGATGTGCATTATTCCTGAGAGAGAGACAGACTGAGGATGAACTGCATGCCTTTTAGTAATAGAGCAAGTTTCCTCTGCGCTGGATGTTTGAGCCCATTAACAAAAGCCTCCAGGGGCAGTCAGTGCAGACTGGCAAAAGGAGATCAGAGAGCGGAAAAATATATATTTACCTCCCTCTAGTGGACAAAAAAAAAAATCCATTCAAGAAAAGAAAAATCCTGAATACAAAGGAAAATGAAAGGTTTGGGAGCTGCTTTGCTTGCTATGGGGATTATAAAGCTATTAATTTACGTTTTACTTTTTCACCCTTCAGTAAAGCTCCTCAATATATTTTGTTGAGTGAAATATATCCATTGCTGAAGTATTTTTTGTTGATGAAACACTCAATCTTAAGTAACTAGGAAATCATACATGGCTCTATAAGCTAACAAAAAATAGCAAAAAAATAAAACAAGGGAAACTCCAACTTATAATCAGCCTCCTCTACTAAGATACCCCTGAAAAATCCACAGCAGTCAACCAGATCCAAACCAATTAGTAAAATTAGTCCACATGTGTGTAGTTTAATCTCATAAATCCAGCTGTGCTGTAAATGCTTCAAAGGATTGTTAAAAAGCATTAGTGGATAAACAGCATCAAAAAACAAAGGAAAACAGCAGACAGGATAAGGAGCAACTTGTAGTGGAGTTTCAAGCAGGTTTTGGTAACAATCTCTAGTCAGGCTGAAACAGCCGGATTAACTAATTTAGTAATTGATTAATCGTTAACTGGAGGTCAGCCAGAGGTAGTTACAACAAAAAAGGTAAATTCTAAACAATAATGACTCGGCGGGGCTGACTTGATAAAATCGTTAACTGGAGTATATAGACTGTAAAACATGCCTTTAGCTGACAGACCGACCCACTTAGAGAGGTAATTACAAAAAGATTGTAAAAAATAAAAATATAGAAACATTTTGCATTTAAGATAATTTAAGATCAAACTTTTCATCTATCAGTATGCTCCATTAAGAACTTCTCAAGTGGAAGAGTTTGAGTTTCACCTGGTTTAATGTTGTACAGTCTTCTTTAAAGAATCTTTGGCTATTTGATTATTAATAAAAAAAAAAAAACACAAAAACATTTTTGACGGATTAATCGATTTGCAAATAATTGTTAGTTGCAGCCCTGATCTCTAACTCCCAACATCTCACGGCACATCGACCCATTTTTTTATTGAAGATTGAAACATTACAGCATAACTACAAACCTACTGGGGTCCAGGTACAATAACAGGCGAGGTCAGCCAGAGGTAGTTACAGCAAAAAGGGTAAATTCTAAACAACAATGACTCGGCGGGGCTGACTTGATAAAAGAAAAGAAAAAAAAAAAACTATAAATCTCATCAAGCTTGGCACAACTTTTAGTCCTAAAACACAAAATTATTCTAACTCCTGGTTGTAAAGCAATGAAAAGTGGAAAAGTTCACGGTCTCTGCACACTTTCACAAGGGACTCTATTTAAACACTGTAAATGTTAGCAAAATAAACAGTTACTTTACCCAGGCTCAGGGATTTTGCAAAACTTTTCTTTGGTTTAAGCAGACCACTATGAGTCATGGCAGCTTCCTGAAAGGCATGTTTTCGGTTCAAATGTCATGAGTAAAAAAAAAAACAAAAGATTAAATGCATACCCTAGATAATATCACTTGCTGAGCTATACAGTTCTTTGAAACCAATGAATAGCAGCAAGTTGGAAATTTCCTAAAAAAAAAAAAAAATCTATTTTTATCCAACTAACTAAAGAGTAATCACTCCAAACCATAGCATAGTTGTTGGTCAGTTACATGCATAAAAACCATTAATCCTGATATCATCTTCAAAACAAGATATTTTTTCACTTATTCTTTATCTGGAAGACTTTTTTACGTCTTGCAAGGTGTTCAAGGATAGAAATTTATGCATATTATTATTATTATTGCCCCAAATTGTACACAGTAGACATGTTCCCTAGCATTAAAACTGAGATTAGGATAAAGGGGTTGGCTGGTTTGTGTTTCACTCGACGTACCTTAATGACAAACTTGAAGGGAGCCATTTCTTCACTGCCTGAAAAGAAGCACACAGCTTGGATTACGCCCAAACTATCGGCTAAAGGTTTCTGACACAGTCTTGAAGCATCATATTCATAGCTCTCATAGAGGTAGCTCTTCAGCATAGAGAAACTTCACTTTTTGAGGTGCTTTGATTATTTAAAAACCTAACTTTTTTTTTTTTTTAAATAGATTGAAATATTCCAATCTGCTCAATTTGGGCTGCTCAGTGTCACAGTGGGTAGCACTGCTGCCTTGCAGCAAGAAGGTTCTGGGTTCGATTCTTGGGAGTGTGCATGTTCTCCCTGAGTATGCGTGGGTTCTCTCCGGGTACTCCGGCTTCCTCCCACAGTCCAAAAACATGACTGTTAGGTTGATTGGCTTCTCTAAATTGTCTTTAGGTGTGAGTGTGTGCATGAATGGTTGTTTGTCCTGTGTGTCTCTGTGTTGCCCTGCGATGGACTGGCGACCTGTCCGGGTGTACCCTGCCTCTCGCCCATTGACTGCTGGAGATAGGCACCAGCATCCCTCGCGACCCCACTCGGGACAAGCGTGTAAGAAAATGGATGGATGGATATTCCAATCTATTTTAAGCTATCAATAACACAGAAGCATCTTTTATTTCATTTGTTTAAAAAAAGAAAACTCTAAAGGGGAATCTCAAGTAAGGACTGAAAACAATTAGTGAAAAGTCTTGAAAATTTAGTTTGTCTTGCATAATGTTCATTGTGTTTATTAATCCAATTTTCTTGTGAGGAACTCACCTTAGAAGAGATCCAGTTTGAAGTTATACAGTAGAATACGGCCTCTGTTATTCCCCATCTACTTCATCCTTTTAAAAGACACAAAAAAGGCAATAAATTCTTCTGAGAAACTGAATCTGATGAAGTAAACACTACTCTGGAATCTGCCAAACTAAAACAGTTCACATCATTACCAACATAACACAAGAAACTGTTTTGTAGTTTCACATCTAGATTGACCTCTTGCATTCATATGAGGCTGGATCTAGTAGTTAACTGCTCCAAGAGAAATCATCCTCTTTCTGGGACACTCTTGAGCTAATTCTTGGGGATCATCAGGTGTTCCAAAGCCAAAAGAGAGACACGGTCCTTCTAGTGATTTCTGAGTGTGACCAAGGAACTCTTTTCAGTGGGACATACCAGGAAAAGCTTCAAGGGACTCCTAAAGCAGACTAACTCAGCCGAGCCTGTTCATTGACATTCTCCACACTTTTTAAACTTATTTCTGGTTCACATTAAATTGACTCCGATCACACACCCCGAATGTAGTGGGCATTGATTCGGAATCTATCTTATGTAAAGTTGTTATCATGTGCAAGTCATGATCTGTAAGATGCACTTAAGCAGCTTGCAACAGGATGAGAGTCAGTCCCTCTAAGGCTGTTGTTCCAAGCAAGAAAAGGGGGGGGATCTCTTTAATAAGTTGGGCATCAGTCTCTGCCTCAAGCAGGGGAGATTAAATCACTTCTTATCTTCTTATAGGACATAATGAGACAGACTGAGAGAGAAATGGTCTTAAGCTTTGTCTGCAGAGATGTGGCTGCTGAATTATCACAGTGAAAAAGAGTCAAGTTGAGCCAAAAGGTCAAGTTCTTGGTTTAAAAGTATGATTAGGTTCTTACTCTCAACTATAGTCATGACAGACAAAAAAAGAGAGCCTATTTTTCCTCTCTACATAAGCTCGACTTAACCTGAGAAACTGTCATAAAACTGGAGCCCCATGTAGGGCCTTTCTATTTGTATAGAAATGAGCCCTTAGGAAATTTAGAATACAGATTTTGTAAACATGGCCATGATAACAGTAAACACTGCAGTAGCAATACTGGGAGTAAACTGTTTTCTACTTTTATCCCATTGTTTTTATCTGTACTTCCATCAGTTTGCAACTTTTACCATTTTGAGTTTAATTTGTGTCTGTATTGAGCATCTGTAGTTGTCAGACATGGTTCATCTGGCTAAATATTTCAATGACATGTAATGTTATTTATGCAAACAACACAAATATCTCAATACATATGAACACTTTTTCATTTCAAATTGTCAATATTGTATTTTTTTTTCTATCACTGTCATCTTCCTCTGCAAAAAGTTGCACTATTAGTCTCTATTCCAATACCAATAATGTATAGCTTGCCCCTTTTCCCCACACTTTATGCATATTTATTTATGTCAACTGTATGTTTGACTATGTGTAGCACCTTATCTCCAAAGCAAGTTCCTAAGTGACAACAAAACTTTTTTCTAATGTTGAACAGTTTAACCTCCTTGATAGAAGTTGAAATTGAACGCTGTGGAACTGAGTTACGGTCACTGGATTACTTCCAATACAAGTAAATATATGAAATGCATAAAATATTAGGACTAAATGAGCTGGCATGTTGTAATTTTGAACTCATATTTTTCGCTTTAATAAACTATCCTCATAAGCGACATATCTCCGCCATTTGGCGAGGTTACATAACCATTATTTATCAATTCCACGCTAGGATATAACAAAACTTAAATGGAACATGCCTAAAACTAAAGATATAGATGAAAAATGACCTACCGCCAACCGTTTTAAAAATATATGTGGAGGCCACGGAAGATGACGTCATTTCCTTTTGTTATCAACAACTGCCACACTTGTGAAAACATAGACATACATATTTCTATATCTCGAAACGCCTTTAGTAGGGAAAATGGCTAGCCTAAATGTCAAAAAAGTACAGAAAACAAAATTCTTGCCTTTAACAGAAGTCAGCGAAGATAAACGGCGCAATTTAAAGAAACTGCGACGAATTGTTCGCTTAGGACCCTTGATTTCGCGCGTCAACACAGACGCCATTTTGTGAGTGGCAAATTCATAATTTTAGCTTGAGTAAGAGTAGGGTACATTCCAAAAATCACAAACATTTATACTTACAGATTTATCGTTTTTATATACAATAAAAAGTTCATTTTAGTTACAGCAATTATGTCCATTTTGATATCTTTGACATTAGAAAAACGAATATTTCACCTTATTAAACCTAAAATGTAACTTACAATATCAGATCAATACTGTTAAAAGCATTTGCATGTCTTGATACAGTTGATCCATTTAGGCATCAATCAATACTGTGAAGCTTTAGGGCCAAAAGTTTTGTTAATGAAAAAAGGGATTTTTTTAATTGAAAAAATAAACAGGAAATTTAAAACTGAATGTTTTGTAAGAAATAAGAAAACAACAACAACAACAAAAATCATCCAAAAAAATTTTTAAATAAAGAAGCGTTCAAAGTTTTTTTTTCTGGCTTAGATAAAATATTTATTTCATTCTGGAAGTATTTTGAAGAAAAAAGTTTTTTAACCTTCCACTTTCACTTTGACTCCTATTTTGCACAGGGGGTGTTGTTACAAAGGACATAGTATCATGATTGACAGTCCTAAGGAAGGACTATGTTGCCTTCAGGAGGGGTTGAACCATTATTTCAATAATATCAACCTGGAGAGACTCATACAGACAAAGAAAATGTGATTAGTAATACGTTTATTTGTTGTGAATTAACAGTTCTTTGGCGCTTGAGCCCACCTGCAGACTTGATGCTGATTGATGAAGAGTGCTTGGATGAATAGCTTAGGAGATTTATTATCAGGGCCCGGAAACTGGTGGTGGGAAGCCGTAGCGTAATGGGAACCTAGAGTCTTGGGCCGTGAGGTTAAGGGGGGGTGACGGTGGGTGAAGTTCAGAAAATTTGTTTGTGTCACACAAAACTCATATGGGTGAGTAGAACATGATGTAATAACGTAAAATCAAGGGCCCAATGTAAAAAAAAAATGGCGTTCCCCTTTAAGTTTATTGGCTTCTCTAAATTCAGTATGAATTCAGTGGCAGTGTGTGCATGAATGGTTGTCTGTCTCTGTGTTGCCCTCCGATGCACTGGTGATTTTTCCAGGGTGTACCCCTTCTCTCACCCGTAGACAGCTGGAGATAGGCCCCAGCACCCATTGCGACCCCAC